TTGTGTTATTTTCTATTTTTTTCTTAGGTTTCAAAAGCATCAATTTCACTTACGAAATGAGAACACTTTTACTTGCCGACGGCGAAGAATCCATGCAGACGATGGTGGTCCCCACCGACGCCCGCGCTCCACCAGTTGACGGCCGACAGATCTCTTAAGTGCGCGGCTCGCAAAACGATAATGACCGTCCGATGAAAAAAAGCCCAAAAGAGACAAGTCAAATAACGCACGTGCCCTAATTTGCCGACTGTCTAGTTGTCAGCCGCGTACCCGCATTAAATTCGGATCTAATAACGTCAAGGATGCTGCAAACAATAGACTTTATTTTTTAGAATTGATTGACACTTGATGTGACACCCGTAGCTAAATAATCGAATAAGTTGTTGTAAATCTAGATAGGACAAGTTATATAGGCCGCGAAATAAGTTGGCCCTCATCTAAATAGTCAATGAAATATGTCGCATCATTTTATATTTATTATTTTTATCGAGACATATGACCCGCCATTTCACAAAATCGAATATGATTACGTCTTTTAATATTTCTAGCTGGCATTACTTTATTCGGGCATCTTCTTATTTTAAAATTCAATTACAGTATGTTAAATTAGCTTCATTAAACAATATTATTCTTTGTGAAATTATCGCTCTTTCATGCTCTTTTTTTGAACTTTTCCTTGCATACGCGCCTGGATATTGCTTTGCTTTTAATTACTATCAAAATCAAATGAAATATTAAACTTTCATATGATTTATTGAATAATTATCTTATTTGGGGAAACATGAAAAAGTTCATCTTCCATAAGTAACCATCCAAAGTACTTATGACGCCTGTTTGTGGGGCTGAGAGAGAGAGAGAGAGAGAGAGAGAGAGAGAGAGAGAGAGAGAGAGAGAGAGAGAGAGAGAGAGAGAGGGCAATGAGGTTAGCCGCGACCCACGATATGAAGCGAATTAGTGGAGATAATGAGTAAATTTCACATCACGATAATGACCTTTAAATATATTTAAATAAAGGATTTATTTTAAATAAATGAGTTTTTTTTTTAATGAGAGCGTTTCACGGAATGTCATAGACAAAATTTCATCAGCTAAACGCCGTAAAATAGTTTTGAATTATTATATAGTTGATTTAAAAAGATTTGAAGGTTTGCAGTCATAAAAAAGTCATTGTTAGTTAATAAAAATAACTCGAATGAATGGATTAAAATCAATCACGCTCTTCACTGTTTTAAGTGGAAACGAGATCATAAATGATAATCATGTTTTAGCGAAGCAATGCTGAAGGGAAATGGACCACGTATGCGTGATTATTGCACATGATGTATTGGCACAACAAATAAAGTGCATTCCCCACTTCAAAGGACCACATCTATCTATCCTTTACCTAAAGGACACGAGGCAAATTCAATACATGTAAAAAAGCATATCACCACTATACATTATAATATAAAAAGAATATCACTTGATGGATAAATAGGAAAATAAATACATATACAAAAGAAAAGGAGAGGTGGGTAATTGTTCTTTTCGAATCCTAAACCAATACAATGAAAAATAAATTCAACAAATCCAAGTTAGATTCCTCACCATTATGTATAGAAAACTCAAGTTCTTTCCACAACATGCACCACCCACATGCGATTCACGAGGGGACATATCTCGTGCCTCGACAATACTAGGAGTCTTGTCGACAGTCCCACGTGTCCAGCTGCTAAGCAGCATCGGGCATCATTGTCCAATCAAATCTAATCTTTGGAAAATCTGTAATTGCAAAGATTGGCGCCCCCATAATTAGGGGCAAACAAAGAAAAGTGCCAAACAGTTTTGGGTTTAGTCACTATGAGCGACCGCGTTCATGAACAGCGATTGTAAAATCAGTACAAGATTTGCTAAACTTGCGGCGGCATTTCGCGCCGGACAAGTTGGATCATTCGAAATAATAACGATGGTCGTTCTTAATAGGAATGAACGGTTCTAGATTTCGTACATATTCTATATGAAACCTGAAACCTACCCGTTGTAACAAGTTTCTCATTGTTTGGAACCTGAAATCTGTCTTATATATCTTGAAACCTCACACCTACATTGTCACAGGTTCCAAAGTCGATTTTAGGGTCTACTCAGGTTTCAGGGTCGATTCTAGGGTCTACTCAGATTCCACCCGTATTATTAATTGAACGATTGTAGTGAATCATCACATTTAACGACTACTACTTGCTGTTATAATCCACTGACCATAACTTATATTTAGACACACAAAGAATATGAAATATTAACAAAGTAAAATTCTCAATCATAAAATAAAAGCTAAGATTAGTGATCTCAGATTATACACTCATCATCGGATAACATGGAATACCGTAGAATTACGCGAAGACATAAATCGAGAAAAACACAAAAACTTATTCTGGGTTTCACCTACATAGAATCTAGAACCTTCCCATCAAAACAAGTCCTCCAATTTTTTGAACTTAGAACCTACCCTGCATACCTTAGAACCTGGAACTGTACAGGTTTCCATTGATCCGGTTCTCTGATTCCACCCTAGAACCATGCTCGCCCCTAGTTCCAAGGCAAGCATACGAATCATGGAGAGAATAATAAGCGGTTTGATCCGGAATAAAGTCTAGAGTTTTTCATTAGACAAATTAGCTAATATAAATATCTAAATATGCGCTCGGTTGTTTGTCACCAAACATCTTTGGGTGGCTCCAATGATAAAGTGCCAAGGAACATATGTCGACGTGTTCATCTAGTGTATCATGAGTCCCATGGTGCTGCTTTTTACGATGATGTTCCGATCGAACATGGCCCGGAAGAAGAATAAGATTGCCAGGCGAACTGGAAGGACGCAAACCTTCCACGTCGTGACCGAAATAGGCTTGCATGCGTTGCTTCCGGGAACAGATCTCTTTGCCCTATCTACTTAAAAAGCTTTCGAAAAGCCACGTGCTTTCGCGATTACTTTTCGTCTTCAATTTGAAAGGGTATTTTTTTCAATAACCAAATTCGTAACATATAAGTTAAGAACCTTTCTTTTAATAGCCGGACCCTATATCATAACATAGGATTAAGGTTAGGGTTTAATAGATTGGAACGGCGTCTTGGGTGAAAGGTTTGCCCGGCCCTTCGACCTCAAACCGTAAAATTCCGTTCTACCCTTTTCTCTTTTTTGGACAAGAGATGTATCTTCAACTTCAATTTTGAGATTGACGGGAGATGTTTGTTTTAATTTGCGCTCGTAATTAGGGTTTATCTTTCCTTCTTTATAAGAGGGACACGTGTTGTTAGGTAGTGATATATGGTTGAATATTATCTTCTGGATCGGGACGTGGACTAATTATTGTCGTGTAAAATTGGATTTCGTTAGATGGCGATATGCTAATACGCGATATCCCTTACGAGTGAGATTTCTTATTTGTTTCCTTCTGTGAGACATTTTCTTTTGTTGCTTTCTATGTATTATTATTTTCCATGTATTATTATAAGAATTCATCATCTCATCTTATTTTCTATCATAAAAAAATAATTAATTATCTCGAGGAGAGCTTTGAGCTTGGTTATATATGATATAATCAGAGGAGTGAAAAGAAAAATATAAGTTGGATCCTCGAATCCTCTTAAGGGATCTAGGAGAATTTGACATCCCCAAATCAAATAAATCCTTCGAACTAATTTATCTGTTAAAGAATTTTTCAGAGGTTTATTTTTCCACCACCGTCCTTTTATACAATTAATGACCGTGTACTACATGTCCAACTTTTCTATCGAGTAAGAGCACGATTTGTTCGAAAATTTGAGAGAAAAAAAAAAGGAAGCCTTGGCTCTTCGTAAAACCCTTCATGAGTAACAATATAAATTAGGATTAGGGGCGCGTTTATTCCAATAAAAACTTCACGATAAAAATATAATTTTATAGGGAAGTGCTTATTTTTCATTTGTTCGGTGATTCAGGAAAATCAATTTCTTTCTTATCAGAAGGCGAAAGTCGTTTTCTCCCGATCAAAACTTGTCATTATCAATCCACATAAATCCATCAATTTTCCGTCATCTAAACGCTAGAAAAAGTAGAAAAATAACTTTTCGGGAAATGATTTTTCCTTCAAATAAACGGGCCCTAGTTTTGTCTTTATTAGCGGTAACCTTTCACGGCCAGCCAAATTCACGAATTTGAAGGGCAAAATATGATATATGCACATGAAAGTCCTAAGGTTTGGATCTGAGCAAATCCTTAAAATGCTCAATTTTGACTCTTGTTCGGACCTCTGGATCATCAAGATATAAAACTCTTAAGATTTTAAGGGAATTAGGGGTTCGGCCACAAGCACTTTCTGTAGAGCCTGTCTTGATCCTGCTGGACAGGCTCGAGACAGGTCGGAGAGACCTGATACTGCAAGAGCTTAGACTCCTTATTTTTTTTGGGCGATGTTACCATTTAACCGAACACTAAGAATATAAGGAAAGCCCGTAATCTTTCACGGCCAGCCAAATTCGTAAATTGAAAGGACAAAAATGATATATGCACATGAAAGTCCTAAGGTACCCCGAAAGGATAGGTCTTTCTTTTTTTTTTTTTACGGCCGCGCTTTTTCGCAAGAGCCAGACGTACGTATGACATCGTTTCTATCTCGATGCGACGAAGGGGGGAGCGAGTAACCAAAATTAGGATCAGAGCTGGTCCTTCACGAGAAGATCAAACAGGAGGAGGCGGAGGAGGAGGTGGAGCGGGGGTGGTGGCCCACCCTCCTTGTCGGAAAGATCGTATCACCACCACCTCCTCAAAAGCTGTCCCGCCATTCATGCGCGTGGCCCCCCCCCCCCCCCCCCCGCCAAGACTCTCTCTCTATCTATATCCGACGGAATGAAATGAAACCCACTGTGCGCAAGCGAGCAAAAGTAACTACTAGTACTGATACTACTTTAGATGTCTAAGTCTTGACAGGACATAGCTGTCCAAACCCCCCACCACCCTTTCCCCCACCCCCCTGTCAAAAAAAAAAAGAGAGCTTCGAAAAAGCTACGCGTCCTTTCCAACGCTAGCATAGCTATTAGCCTCTCCCCCCGCTAGCAACGCAAACCCTAGCTCTCTCTCTCTGCAGTCTGCACTGCGACTTCTTCTCTCGGCTCTGAAGAAGGCCCCGACCCTTTCTTTCATGGACGACAATGAAGAGCAGCGCCGATCCGATCCCTTCGCGGAGTTCGCCCCCGTCCCCTGCTGGCCCCAGCTCGGCTCCGACCCGGACGGCCGCTACTTCTTCGGCGTCGGCGGGGGCGACCGAGACGGCGCGGTCCTGAGGGAGTTCGGGTGGAGCCTCCCGGGAGCCGGATCCGTCGGAGCCCGCGACTGCTTCGGCGGGGACGACGACGTCGGCCACCAGATCATCATGGCCGCGGGCGAGGGGACGGGATCGGGGCCCCGCGGCTCGGGCGCCGCCGCCTCGGCCGCCGCCTGCGGGGGGGCCGCGTCGACGTCGAACAGGACGGCGTCCTCGGAGTCGAGCGAGGATCCGCAGGAGAGGTCCGCGGCCTCCGGCGAGAGCTTGCTGGTGCCAGAGAAACCGTGAGTATCGTAGGGTTTTTGCTGTTTGTGGAAAGAATCGGAACTGAAAAATCGCAAGTTAATCTGGTGAAAACCCACGAGTCCTTTTTGGGGTTCGGGGGAACCGAGGAATTCACATCGAAATCGGAGCTGAACCTTCTCTCCTCTGATCTCGAGTCTTCCGAACCCCAGTGCAACTCCACCATTTGTCGGTACGCTGTAGAAGCGCATGCGAGAGAGAGACAATTTCGTAATTTCGAGCGAGAACGAAGGGCGATATTGCGTGGGGGGGTTGTATTATTAATTGATTAGGGGTGTGTGTGTGTGTGTCCTTCGACACCGCCACTATTTCGGCGGGAATAGCGTGCTCCGATTTTCCTCCTTTTTCCCTTTTGTTCTTGCTTTATATAGGAACAACGTACGATGGTTTTTCTTTCTTTCTTTCTTTTACCTAATTACCTCTCTTGGGCACTTTGAATTGTTCCTTCCATATATATATATATATATTCTTGGGTTTTGGATTTGGAACAGCGGTGGTGGGATGACAGTGATGATCGACATCTAGATCTTCTTCTCCTCCCACATGAGACCCTTTTCGCGAGCAAAAAAGACAATGGGTTGCTTTATGATAGAGAGAGAGAGAGAGAGAGTTGACTGAGCAGAGGAGAGAGAGAGGGATCGAGAAGCGTACAGACAGAGCACTTTTGCGCTCGATCTCCGAGGCAGATTTGGTTGTCTGTTCAGTGGGCGCCTCGTGCGATCCGATTGGATTATACGATGTTATCATATGTTTCAGTCATGCACGAAAAAGAAAAAGAAAAGAAAAGAAAAGAAAAGAATTAATAAGTGCATGTTTCGTTATATGCATGTGTGATCTGGGGGAGAGCTAGGTTTTCTTTTGATGACAGATTCGACTCCGACATGTGTATATCAACGAGAGACAGCAATGGCGGGTCGTTCATGGGGTTATTCCATTTGCAGTGGTTTTTCTCAGCTCATTGAAACCCTCGGAGGGAAACTAACCGAGAAAATTCGCCAGACTTCTTGATCTTCGTATATAATTAGCTTTGAGAATGCGCTTTACAGTTTGACTACTGGCATTGACATAGGCAGCATCGGAGATTTACATAGAGTATCAACAGCATCAGGATTTACTATATTTTACCCCAAGTAAATAAGGCGTTGTGGTTAACCTCTTTCCTTCTTCAAGAAACAACCGCCACATCCATATCTGTATGGTAGAGCAACCTCCATGCCAAGACACAGAACATTGACTCTTACCCTTTTGATGTTGAAGAATCTAGTGTCCCTCGATCTTGTTTTTCATATAGCTAGTTTGATCTACTTTGGCTGGATTTACAAGATAGTACATGCTAGTTATTTCGTGTGTGTGTGTGTGTGTGTGTGGCTTATTTAGTTATCATCATTTGTTGTTTCCTACTCACGGTTGATGTGCTTCTGCAGGAATAAAGTTCGAAAGAAAGGACAAAAGAGAATAAAGCAGCCACGATTTGCGTTCTTGACTAAGAGCGAAGTTGATCATCTTGAAGATGGGTACCGCTGGCGAAAATATGGTCAAAAGGCTGTTAAAAATAGTCCATATCCGAGGTATGTTGATTTCATAGTGCTCTCTAAAGGGGCCCAAATTTATATGTATTTAATCTTGATACTCTCCTTTTGGTCCGTCTTTTGATGTGGATTTGAGTGAAAAAAAGAATCTCTTTTGGTCAATTCTTTTGCTGGATATTTTGGTATCTGTCTAAGATCCTTCCAAGAAGGTGCACTAAGAAAGTGCATTATGCCCAAGTTAATGCCGTACTCAAATCATTTAAATTTTAGTTAGTTTCAGTTCGAGAAGTTCCCCGTTGCACTTTTCTTTTGCAATCCATTGTGCGCAAAAACCTTACAAAACCCTTCCTAGTTTTATTGCTATGAGGTTAGAAATGGGAGCTCATCTGATTTGTGCATTTACTTCTTGAAACACTAGTGAAGCATTTGATATTGTCTAGAGTATCCGACTTTAGCTCTCTCTTAGGATCTGCTGTCATTTGATGAATACCCACATAGTTAGAGAAGCAAATTAAATTTGAGTTCCTCTATTAGCTTAATCGAAGATGCAGTACAACTGATATTGCAGTTTTCTTGGAAAGTTTTCTATCTACAGTAGTCCAAGTAATACTATGTGTGCAGCCGCGGGGTATCAAGACAACATGATCTCGAGTTCATACTCCTGAGCAATATCAATGTTTTGCCTTATCTTCTTTTAGATAAATCATCTTTCCACGTTGTAATTATCCAATATTAGAGGGAGTGTTTGAGTTTAGGTTCTAACTTAGCAATGCAAAAGTATCTAAAGGAAAGGCAGTTCACATTGTCATTGTGTACAAGCACCGAAGTTTTTGTCAATAGTAACACATTCCAAATTCCACCAATTCATGAAACCTTGTTTATCTAAGAATTCCATGAAACGGCAGTCAAATCATATGAAATTCAAGTTGTTGCTAAGCTGTCACTGTACTAGTGCTTTTTTTGTGCTCGTGTTTTGTTTATTCATGTTCTTGCCTCCTTCAAAATAGGCAGACCGGCCATGAACTCAAGTGTATTCATAAACTATTTCTTATGCCGACGTAGGCAGCTGGAAAATTTTCTACTGACTTGCCACAATGTGCCACTGGCTCGTCAAATGTGCTGAAAACCTGCAAATTACAAACGAGTTTTAAACAGATCGCTTTGAGGATTGCATTGACCTCCTTTCACTTTTCTTTTGTTAAAACAAATGCAGGAGCTACTATCGTTGCACGAATAGCAAATGCACAGTCAAGAAGAGAGTGGAGCGGTCCTCGGAAGACCCTGCAATTGTAATAACCACCTACGAAGGCCAACATTGCCACCATTCAGCTGGGTACCTCCGCAGCAGCGTCCTTAGCCACGAGGCTACCTTCGGCAGGCATTTGGCTCATCCGGCCTCACAAATTCACCATCCCACACGAGCTCATATACCCATAGAAACTTCTCCTCCTAACTTAAACGCTTACCGTGTACCAACCTCTTCTGGAGACTTGCAACGGTTGCCGACTTCTTCCAGAGAACGCGGAGCAGTGTCCGGTGTTAATCAAGTTCTTCCTACCGAAGGACTGCTTGCCGATGTTGTGCCTCCTGGAATGAGATGATGATTGAATGATGGTAAATGCTAACTCGAAGACAAATTAATGGCTATTTCAATACTGATATACGCTGTAAATATGGCTCCTATTTATTCATGTCATTGATTTAGTGAACTTGCGCCCTATGGATGGAGTACTTTTATTTTTGGCTATATGCTGATTAGCAAGCAGAGCAATAATTCTAGGGAAAAATGTCAAAAAAGTCCTAAACCTTTTCCATTGGTGTCAATTTAGTCCTAAATCTTTTTTTGGTGCCAATTCAGTCCTAAACCTTTTGCATTTGTGCTAATTGAGTTCTAAACCTTTTTTTGGTGCCAATTCAGTCCTAAACCTTTTGTATTGGTGCCAATTCAGTCCTAAACCTTTTGCATTGGTGTCAATTCAGTCCTAAACCTTTTGTATTGGTGCCAATTCAGTCCTTCCGGTTAATTTAGCTTAAAAAGGTTTATGACTGAATTGGCACAAATGCAAAAGGTTTAGGACTCAAGTGGCACCAAAAAAAGGTTTAGGACTCAATTGGCATAAATGCAAAAGGTTTAGGATTGAATTGGCATCAATGCAAAATGTTTAGGACTGAATTGACACCAAAAAAAGGTTTATGACTAAATTGGCACATATGCAAAAGGTTTAGGACTGAATTGGCACCAAAAAAAGGTTTATGACTAAATTGGCACATATGCAAAAGGTTTAGGACTTTTTTGACACTTTTGCCAATAATTCTATTGCTTACAAGAGAAGCCCGTGTGTATTAGATCCACTTCTGCAGGCTACCCAAGCACAGACTCCAAATGATATGCAACCCGGGCTAGTGATCACCAGAGATGCGTAAATGTTTAATACGTGCATAAAAGAATTCTATTGTTACGTGTCAAAGTATAGATTTTTTTTCCCATATCGGTAGATTTCAATGAGCGTTAGGAAACTCCCAAATACTTGTGGTAAAAAAAAAATGACCAGTGATTTTTTTTTCAAGTTACTTGTTAGTAACTTACCAACACTTTCGTGAAATTACAAACTTTATTTGCTAGTTATTTACCTTTGTTTCTTTGGTTTATTTAACTTTCCAACAAATCTTACGCTTACAAACTTTTATTTGCATTTCTTGGCAGTATCTTAAATTTACCCACTCTTTTGTTAAATTACCAACTTTCAGAAGAGGGAATTACTGAATTTTCTTCTATTAAGTTGGCGAACTACTTTTGGGTTGTTAACTCTTATTTGAGTTACTTATCAAGTTTATTTTTCTTTCAATTACCAACTTTTATTCACCTTTATTAATAAGGTCTTAAATTATTCAACTCTTTTTAAAAAATTAATAACTTTTTATCTTTTTTTTTTATAGTTATCAACAACTTTTTTGGTTACCAATTCTTATTTCAATAAGTTGTCGGAGAAAGTATTGGTAAGTCGCTCAAATAAGGTTACTAATTTCATATAATGGTTGGTGAATTTAATGCATTAGTAGGAAATGTAAATAAAAGTAAATTAAAGATATAAGAAGTCATTTGTCAGCTAGAATTTAGAGAAGTTGAATTTAGAAAAATCAAATAAACATTGGTAGCTAACTCAAATAAGAGTTAGTTACTCAAAATTAGTAGTTGGTAACTTAACTGTAGTAAAGATTTATAAGTAAAGCCAATAAAAGTTGTAACTCAATAAAAAAAGTTGGTAAACATAGAAAAAAACCAAACAAGCATTAATGAGTAACTCAAATGTGAATTGGTAACTCAAAACTAGTGGTTGATTTAAGTAGAGAAAAGTTGGTAAGTCACGTAAAAAAGGTTTATAATGTCATATAATGACAGAAAAAAATTAAAGCATTGGTAAGAGAGGTAGATAAAAAGTAGTAAAAAATATGAGATTTTTTTTGTTAAAGGTAAGAGATGTTGGTCATTTATACAATCGTTAATAAAGATAAGAGGTGTTGGTAAACAATAAAGAACCTTTCTTTGCTAGGGATATAAGAGAAATCGATAACTTTTTAAAATAAACCTAGTAAACAATGTTATCTAACTCTAATAAGAGTTGGTAACGTAAAACAAGTGGGTGAGTTCCCTAAAAAACCCCAAACTTTAGGTGAAGTTTCAAATCTATCCCAAACTTTTTTTAATTCTTAGAAAAAACCCTAAACTTTAGGTCTAGTTCCAAATCTGCCCCGAACTTTGTTTTATGTAAAAAAAAAATCAACAAATTTCAATTTATTTTCAAAAATATACCTCCGTGATCCAATCCCAACTTGACGTGACTCTTCCACGTCATAACAAATCCACATCAGCAAAGTAATGGAGCGATAAGTACGTATCGATGTTGCATTTTTACTTCGATAACAAATCAAACCAAATAAAAATTATTGAAATTCTTCAAAATAACCATTCTAGGATATAAAAGTTAGGGACGATAACAAATCCACCAAAAAAAAATTTATTTAAAAAAAAACTAATTTTTAGGTTTAGTCCAAATTTGCTTCGAACTTTTCTTTGTCTAAAAAAAAAAACCCATTACTTTATTGATGTGGATTTGTTATTGACGTTAAAGTGTCATGTCAAGTTAGAATTGGATCATCGGAGTATATTTTTGAAAATAAATTGAATTTTGGTGATTTTGTTTACACAAAACAAAATTCGAAACAGATTTGGGACTGAACTTAAAGTTTAGGGTTTTTTTTCAGACAAAAAAAATTCGGGGCAAATTTGGGACTTGACCAAAAGTTGGGGATTTTTTAGGAAATTAGGCCAAAACAATTTGGTAACTTAATCAAATATAAAAATTGGTAATCACTCTTATTGAGGTAGATGATTTTTAAAGAAATTTGGTAAGTTTAAAAGGTTTGTTAGCTAGATAAACAAAAGTAATTCAATAGAGAGGTTAATAAATTTTTAAAGGGAAAAAACTAAACACCGCTAACTCAATCGAGAGTTAATAACAAAAAAAATAATTGTACAACTTAATCGGAAGTTGATAAGTTACATGAATCTTCCGTTCTACTAAAACAAGCCCCTTGCACCTGCATGTACTCAGCTAGAAGGTGTAGTCCAAGTAGGAGCAGGGCCGCTAGAGGTCACTGGAGGCATAGTAGGGATGTTGATGTTGAGGGTAATAATCGGTTTTGGATGTCGAGCTCCTTGAAAATCTTGACTATCTCCTCCATTACAAGGGCTCTTCTTGTCCATTTCTCGCCCATGTCTTGGTGGTTCACCTGTGCGTCAACCAAATCTTCCACATCCTTGGATATTATATAGGTGCAGGGTACCAGTGTCCTTGATCTCAATGAAACTGCAAGATAGTAATATAAATAAACTGAAACACGATTCCATAACAAAAGAAAGACTTACCAAGAATTGTTCTACTACAGTACATACACATATGAGATCCGCCATAATAACAGTTTTATGTTTTATGGGGTCACAAGTTGTGAGAATCAATATATTGACGGAGAAAAACTACGATCTTATAAGCAACGATAAGTCTCGTGCTAGCACCATCTGGTCCGTGCATCATATGTGCATCTTTCGTGCAATGCACGTGCATCTCACGAAAGATGTGCGTTTAATGCACGGACTCACTTGTTGCCAAATTTTCCATATCGACAAGTCGGTGCATTAAATGTGCATCTTTCGAGCCATGCATGTGGATCTTACTAAACCAACTGCATTTAATATTGTAATATAAACCAACTTAGACACGATTCCATAAAGAAAGACTCACTAAGATTTCATCATAGCAATCTTCTCAGTTGGTGTAGATATGTTCACACATAATTCAATTGCATCTTTCAAATCAGGACTTTGATAGTAGTTACTGATGGCCTTGGAAGCAAAAACACTATTTGGAATTATTATTTTATGGTTGTCGTACCTCAGGAAAACATTGCTTAAGAAATTCATCTCTTCCACAACCATTCGAAACACAATGCATTATGGTTTAGAAACATATATTGTGAACAACTGTTGAACACACATAGCTCTATTTGCTTGGGTACTTGGACCCCATTGACTTCACAACGATCGCCGACGTCAAATGGATGCATTACAAATAAGAAAATAATTGCTTCAAATGTCATATTGTAGGAGTTTCCAAATATGAATATCACAAGTAGCAATTGGGAGCGTATGAGAAGGAGAAACTTTTTTGTAGCAATTCCGAGAATGAGGAGCCATATGATGGCTATGAGGATGCCAACTAGATTTTCATCAAACCATAAATGAAAAAATTGTTGGATTTTCATTGAACCTTAAATGACCATCTAAATGCGATCCTAGACACAAGGGCTGAGAGGTTCTAATTGTGACGCATTGTGTACTTTTAGGCTAATCGGTTATCAATGTTCGTGGATAAGGTCACAATTAGTTATTACTTAATTATACACTAGCATTCCATGACTTACCTCGAAATAGTTTGGCTTACGTGTAATATAAAGGTTTAATATGGCCAGGACAATGACACTGCTAGGTCTGTGCACAAGATATCACGACAGTGAAAGGGTAGAACAACAAAATTTAAAAGATCACAATGATGAGGCATACCTGGATACCTGCTGAGGCACATTCTGGAAAATTTTCTTCGCCACTGCTCTCGCCTTATTTTCGCTGTTTATTTGCTTTGAAGATTCGTCATCATGACCCAATATCAGCTCATCTAGTGTTGTGAGGTTCCCATATCGCACTAAATTCATTAGCATCTTCATATTCTAGACAGATACGTTCTTTGGGCTCAATTTATGCAAGTGATCGATTGTGATCTCCTCTTCCCCTTGTCCTTTCCCATGGGATTCTATTTCACTCTTCCGCTATCTTTCGCTAGCAATACAGCCGCATTAAGGTTAGGAGGTATCATAGCCCGGCCTTCTACAAGTTCTCAACTTCAACAGCAATCTTCTCCTCCTCTCTCTCCACTTTCCTCATCTCAATTAACGGCGAACCTGAAAGCATCTTGATCACATACTGATTGAATAGAGACTTCGAATCCTATCAAAGTAGGTGCTCACGTGGAAGGAAGATGCCAAGACTAGCCAAATCACTGTGCCAACCAAGAGACACACCAAGACCTTGGTCACCAACTGAAGGTTCTCGCTATTGGTCTTTCTCTCAACTTTTTTATCAAATAGGAAGTGCCTTGCCACCAAGACCAGCACAACGCAGACAATTCTGCACTGCTTTCCTCAACTCATAAACAAAATAAAGAACCCTCTTCCTTTGAACAAAGTTCTTCTCAATAAAGAACAAAATGATCCTAATGCCCCAACTAGAGACCAACCTCTCAACATCAACACGATTACCTCCCACTTCCACAACGGCCCGTTTGGTTCAGCTTTTATAATATTCATTTGGGGAATGCAAATACCTTTAGGTGAAAGCCACTTGAAAAAATGCAAATGACGTTTGGTAAAATATTATTTGAAAGCCACTTGGGGAAATGCAATTGTGTTTGGTTATTTCTTTTTATAAATGGGCTTTGGGAGGTTTTTTTTTAATTATTTTTAAAAGTATCCTTCGCCGGCTCCGGCGAAGAGCTACGGCCGCCGGCGAGCTAGATCTAGCGACGGCCTGGGTCGCGTGACCCAGGCGGCGAGGGTCGCGCGGCCCCAGGCAGCCGTCGCCTGGGGTCGCGCGACCCGGGCAATGGCGCTGGGCGGTCGCGCGACCCTCGCCGCCCGGGGTCGTGCGACCCGGGAGACAGCCCTGGACGGTCGCGCTACCCCAGCGGCGACGGCACGGGCGGTCGCCCGACCCCGGCGGCCGTCGCCGAGGTCGCGCGACCTCGCCGGCCCCTCGCTGGCCGCCCTAGCCAGCCACGCTTTGCTGAAGAAGAAATTTTTTTTTTTTTTGGGAACAGTCAGCATTCCAAATGCTACCAAATGAGCATTTGGAACTCCAATGCTGAACCGTTTGGTTCAGCATTTTGGGAATGCTCATTTAAGGCCAAATGAGCATTCCCAATGCTGAACCAAACGGGGCCAACATGAGCTTCCACGGAGTCCCACCAAGAAAGACTTACCAAGAATTTTTTTACTACGGTACAAACCCATATGAGATCAATCATAACAACAGTTTTCTATTTTATGGGTCACTAGTTGTGAAAATCAAAATATTGGCAAAGAAAATTTGTGATCTTATAGGCAATAATAATTTTTGTGTTAGGACCATCTAGCCAGTGCATTAAACACGCATCTTTTGTGAGATGCATGTTTAATGCACAGATTCACTGGTCGGCCAAATTGTTGAGACCGGCAAGCCCGTCCATTAAACGTGCATCTTTTGTGCATTAAACGTGCATCTTTCGTGCAATGCGTATGCATCTTACAAAACCAACAGCATTTAAGATAGTAATATAAACCAACTCAGACACGATTCTGTAACAAATTAAAGAAAGACTTACCAAGAATTGTTTTACTACACTACAGACACATGAGATCCGCCATACTAGTTGCGAGAATCACAGAGAACTTTGCTCTTATAGGCAATAATAAGTCTACATTCTAAATAGCTACATAGACCAAATAATTTTCACATTTGCATCATTTCTACATGGCAAGAAGGTCCAAAACCAAGACAACATCCTCAATTGTTTTAAATGGATACTTTTCCAGTAAATTCCTCAAATCTTGATGCTCAATCTTCTAGTCATTAGGAAAGCGAGAAGTAGATAACCAAAGGGGAAAAGTGGATTAGCTAATAATATAGCTAGTGACCTTGTTATTTTTTGTTTCATTGTGGCAATCTTCTCAGTTGGTGTAGAAATGTGTACACAGAATTCAACTGCATCTCCCATATTAGGACTTCGATAGTAGTTTCCAATGGCCTTAATAGCAAGAAACATTGTTTGAAATTATTATCTTTTGGTTGTCGTATCTTAAAAACAGTCCACCACCATCTGAAACACAATGCATCATGGTTTAGAACATATATTGTCAACAACTGTTGAACACATAGAGCACTATTCGCTTGGGTACCTGGACTCCCTCGATTTCACAAGGATTTTCGACATCAAATGGATGCATCACAAACAAGAAAATAATCGCTTGAAATGCCATCTTGCAGGAGTTTCTAGATATGAATACTACAAGTAGCAATTGGGAGCTTTTGAAAAGCAAAAACTTTTTTGTGGCAATTCCTAATATAATGAGCCATATAGTGCTCTTGGTTCTCTGAAAGCATTAACCTGTGTTACATCCAAATGCAACTTTAAAGCTCAATTAGTAGGCACCGCAACTATAGAAGTCCAACACATGTAGAAAGACATTTCAACTACTTTATCGGGTAACTTTAATTCGAGAAGATTGCATTTACAAGCCTAGTGCAATCAATTGGGTTCATTATGTCAACATTTATTAAGAAGCACCAATTAGTTTTCTGCTATTTGAGGTTCTCATTTTGCATTTAATTAAAACTAGCGAGTACTTTGACCTGACTCTAAAACTATAAATTAAGTAAGAAGTTTTGATATCGGGTTGCTTGATTTCAAGTTCAATATCTTGTTAAGTTGAGCTCAATTCAAGTATCCAAAACTCTCCAATACACTCATCCGACACCACCAACTTCAAGGAGCCACCCACAATCTTTGTACATGATCCTCTTGTATACGATTGTCAAACTACAGGCATGCGCTTAGCTCGTACTATGCTTAACATGTGTGTAAATCATGCGAAAAGAAGTGAAAGGCGCCAGGCGTGGATGGTGATGATATGCCGAGCAAAGACAGAGTCTGGCCACAGAGAGGACGGCTTGAGGTGTGGACCCAATAAGAAGAGTTTGCGTCATGTGCGATGATTCATTTGTTCTCCGTATGGCGAGTTGGCCAATTGTATCAAATTCGAGGTGTAAAGTTAGCTGAGATGTACGCTGTGAAACAGATGTTTAGGGCATTAGACCCAGTAGGACAAAGAATCCTGCATGCGGTTCTGTTTCCTGGTTAAAGTTGAGCTACTTTTAACAGCTCATTGCTTTTGAAAGTTACTCTGTGAGTGTGACTTTTAGACACTGACGGAGATGATACTAGGATTTTTGGACTAAGTTAATATATAAGGTAGATGAAGCAGACAGAGACACTGCAATGTGTCGTTGGTAGGTGACTCCACACCCTCCATAACCACATTTCTTCTTGAAGAATAAAGGTGCATCAAACAGTTTTCATTCCTCACGATTCCAATCGAACTAATCATTCTTTCCAGCCTTCAATCCAAAGAGTGTTAGTCCAACCACTCTCCCTGTTCCCTGATAATTTTTGAAATGGCATACTGAAGCTTGCAACCTTTTTCAAAATTGATCCACATCCTGGTCTGGTAGTAAAAGGCGGATTAACTTCCATGTCGAAACCTCATTTGCTTCCTTGGGTTTCAAGTTTCAAGCTTGCAACTTCTCAAATGCCAAAGTCAGGATCATTGTGTGAGTTTAATACTTGGAGCGTTCTCAAGAAACAGAGGAAGAGATCAGAAGAAAGAATTTGCTAATCTTTCTGGTTAACTAGTACAAAAAGAGAGGGCACATGCCAATCAATCTTGAGGTTTTCTGGCATATCGACTGCCGTTGTTTACATGTGAATGCACAGTGCTCTGCCTTGGCCCAAGGAAACTTCGCTTGCCGCTTTTTTCAATTACCAAACACTTCAAACTTCTTCCCTCTGAAGCAGGTGGTTTCATCAGAAATGCTTGCAACAAAAAATATGCATATCATTGCTATGAGAGCAAGAGTTATGATTTACCAGGCATAAAGAGATCCTCAGTGATCAGGGCAGGAAATTCAGTGTAGAATTCAAGAAAAATATCACTGAATCCAGTTACCTATTCCAAAATGAATCAAAGTGTTCTTTTTTTCATTCTCTTTTTCATCTCTACAGAGACATTTCAGGACATTGCAAGAATTGAGAAAAGAATTTGAGAAGTTCCGATTGAGATCTTCTCTGGCGAACACAATCATAAGCAGAATATAGAGCATCTTGGAGATAGTTGAATCTCGGGCAAAAGGAAGAAGTGAAAGATTCTCCCGATTTGGTTGGTGCATTGGAATGCCCCCCAGCTTCATGCCCAAAGGTTGCTGCAAGAGACCTACCTTTACCAAGACAATAAACCGGCCTCACCATTTTCCTCTTCCCAAGCAGGAAGGTTGAGATCAATTAAAGCAGGAACCTCATGAACTTGTCGCCCTGTCACCATGGCTTTGTCTTTGGACCGCCCTAAAAAGTGCGATCTCTTGTGACCTCCTAAAGCTTGACCTGACCGAAAGACCCTGAAGCAGATCGGGCATTCATGCCTGTTCTTCTTCTTTGTACCTGGTTTTTTCTCCTTTCGAGTCGCGTTTCCACCAGTGAAAAGCTCCGGATCACTAATCACTTGCGAAGGATTGTGAGATGTATCAATCTCACTGCCAGTTTTGCTCCTCTCATATTTGGACCAGGTGCTCATCTTTAACTTCTTCTGGCAGTCTTTGTGCTTAGCAAGTTTCTTGGGAGACTCAGAGATCTTCTCACCAATCACAGATCCATTTTTCCAATCACTGAATGATCTTTGCATATCATTTTCGACTCTCTTTCTTGAAACATCTACTGCTTCCCTTATGGTGCCTTCTACTCCTTCGGCTTCGTGTTTGATTCTGTTCAACCATTTCCTCCATTCGACACCATCTTCCCTAGCTTTAGATCCGTAGACTAATTTACGATTCTTAAGCTCACGAATGCTGATATTGTCATCAACATAACAATCAGATTCCCTCTTCTTCACATATCCAGAACCGTAACTGTTAGAAACATCAATCTCACCCGATTTCCCACTTCTTACATCGCTCGACGATGATTTAGCTTCTAAATAATCCGAATCATGATCTGCACCATCTCGGATCCAAGTCCAAGCACCCTTAAAATTACTAGTATCCCTAGATAACAACATCAAACATTTTGCCACCTCTTCCTGTTCTTGTTCGATCTCGGAAACAGACGATGAACCGCTGACCAAGATCTTTGCAGGAACTCTACACTTGATTCTTTTTGATCTCCTACGCTGAATTTGAGCTGACGCTTCTGAATCCGGGACTACATCCATTTCTAGGATCTGCTTCTCGCTGTACTCCAACACATCCTTTCGGTGATTGGTCGCCTTTTCTTTCTCGGAATGACAAGCCATATGACCGCAAAGAGCTTTCAATGACTGAAACCCTTTCCCACACTCTTTACACACATTCCCTACTCGCATTATACTGCCCGAATCCTCGAACAATCTCATATCTTTCCAGTTCATATGGAGGCAGAGGCCAGAATTCCCCTCAACTCGAAGCTCCTTGACTCCACGATCATTACAATGTCGACCATCTTCTCCAGCGAAACCATCCCCTGTCTTATGAGAGCTCAAATGACCGCCAAGAGATTTCCCACACGGGTACCTCTTGTTGCAATACTTGCACACAAAGTCCATCTTCTGATTCATTTCCCTTTAGATGACCAAAGATACAGAGCAGAGCAGAACAAAAACTTCAGCAGACCACTAATGTAAATCAGCAGATCACTGCATAGGACATACCTCAGATCTCCAGAAAATGCTGCATTCCGCGTTCTTTGCCCATCTCCTTCCACCAAAACAACCCTCAAGTTGTGGTGAGAAAGATGAAGCAGAAAAGCTGAGGAAATTCAGTTCCAGATCGAGAAGATCATATCTGATGTGCCGGATTTCAGCAAGACAAGAAAGCTTGCAACTCTTTTTTTTCCACAAAAGAACGAAGTGTGACCGGTTCTTTTTCTCCCAAAGTACAAGATCCAGACCCACCAAACGATAGGCCGTCCAAATCCAATACCTTTTCACCCTCGGTTCTCACATCATGTCCCTCTCTTGAATGTTCAAAAAACCGAAGGAGAGAAGAATTCAAAACTTTGAAGGGGAGTGGTGGGTCGCTAATGACGGCGACAAACAGGCACGGGCCTACGCGAGGAACAATCAAAGCAAAGACACTACGACTCTTTCTCTCTCCTGTGGTTGTGTCCTCCTCCTTGTTGTTGTTGGAGGAGAATTCCATGCATCATGGAAGCTGAAAAGGTGTGTTCAGTAAAAAAAAAACAGGTTTTGGGGAAGCAAAAGCTGGAGTGCACGTGTGCTAGAGAGAGCACAGATCGTTCGTTTGCCTTGTTGGACGGTCGAGATTGGTGGGTTATTGGGGGGCATTCCGAGGTACGAGGACTGCCGAAGAAGGCTAAAAACTCCATGCCTTGTTTTGTCTCTTGCTCAGGAGAAGATCTTCTCATAAGTTATGTGACTTCTCCGATGAATCCCCAAAAAACCCAGCATGTTCTGATATTTCACGGCGTGCATGGTCGATGCTTTGAAAATCGGTTTTTTTCTAATTGAGTATATTCGATAGATGTTATCGTAGAATTACTTGTTACAAATCCAACGAGATTAATTGCTCGGTAGTTGAGATTTTTGTATTAAAAAAATCTGAGAATTGATAGATGTGTAAATTCGAGATAGAAGGATTCCTCTCTAATTCTGAGTAGAGATATTTTCATTAAAAATGGCTTTGATATGTATCTTCGAGGCCTATTGAGTAGCCTGCATGAGTGGGGGGGCAATGCAAAGGTTCAGCATTAGTGACTTGACAAATATCAAGGAATAGGTTAATCAAAGGTACACCTTAGTCCTATTGCTTGATATGCCTCACCCCTTCAATTTTGCCTCCCAAAAAGGGAAAATCAAAGGTGCACCTGGCAAATATCAAGGAATTTGGAGCAATTTGCATTTTAATAAATAAATATTTTCATGTTCCTACTTTATGACCTAATTTTTTTACTCTCTAAATCCAAATACATAAAGGGATATTTTCGTCGTAGCGCATTCTTTTTTATTGAGCCGATTCATCTTATTTTTGGCGGTATTTATTTAAAGTCACATTTTTCCTTTGTTATTTAATGCTTCCCTTATGGTGCCTTCTACTCCTTCAGCTTTGTGTTTGATTCTGTTCAACCATTTCCTCCATTCGACACCATCTTCCCTAGCTGTAGATCCGTAGACTAATTTACGATTCTTAAGCTCACGAATGCCGATATTGTCATCAACATGACAATCTGATTCCGTCTTCTTCACATATCCAGAACCTTAATTGTTAGAAACGTCAATCTCACCCGATTTCCCACTTCTTACATCGCTCGACGATGATTTAGCTTCTAAATAATCCGAATCATGATCTGCACCATCTTGGATCCAAGTCCAAGCACCCTTAAAATTACTAGTATCCCTGGATAACATCATCAAACATTTTGCCACCTCTTCTTGTTCTTGCTCGATCTCAGAAACAGACTACGAACCGCTGACTAAGATCTTTGCAGGAACTCTACACTTGATTCTTTTCGATCTCCTACACTGAATTTGAGCTGACGCTTCTGAATTGGGGACTACATCCATTTCTAGGATCTGCTTCTTGCTGTACTCCAATGCATCCTTTTGGCAATTGGTCGCCTTTTCTTTCACAGAATGACAAGCCATATGACCGCAAAGAGCTTTCTATGACTGAAACCCTTTCCCACACTCTTTACACACATTCCCTACTCTCAATATACTGCCCGAATCTTCGAACAATCTCGTATCTTTCCAGTTCTTATGGAGGCAGAGGCCGGAATTCCCCTCAACTCGAAGCTCCTTGACTCTATGTTCATTACAATGTCGACCATCTTCTCCAGCGAAACCATCCCCTATCTTATGAGAGCTCAAATGACCGCCTAGAGATTTCCCACACGGGTACCTCTTGTTGCAATACTTGCACACAAAGTCTATCTTCTGATTCATTTCCCTTTGGATGACCAAAGAAATAGAACAGAGCAGAACTACAACTTCAGCAAACAACCATTAATGTAAATCAGCAGATCACTGCATAGTGCATACCTCATATCTCCATAAAATGCTGCATTCTATAATTAACCCAATTTAGGAAAACTCATACCTAAACTAAGCAAATACAATTCCATGATTACCTCTTCACACTCCTTATCTTAATGGCCCTTAGAAATTGCGGTACGTGACGTATGCATCAGACAAAGCAAACACAGTTCTACTTGTCACAATGAAGTGAGATTGCAAACAAGATTCGGATTACGGCTCTGCCAACGCTGACCAGTGGAGTAATTACACAAGCGTTCAATCATTAAGAGAGCAATACGATAATTCTAAGATCTAGGAAAGAGATCAAAGTTTACAAGACAGACTGAAGAGAGAAGACGCATCACCCTCTATACACATTCCAGGCTCTGTACTTGAAGAGCTCAGGTTGATATCTGGTGTGCTGATTTTTTCACTTCAAATATTCCAAAAGGCGATCTGTGACGGCATTTGTTTTTCTTCTCTCTCTCTCTCTCACCAGATTCATCTTTACTGGAACTTTAATAAGAGAAGTTACAAGTTGTATACGCAGAGACTTCTGTTGACACCTGGCTTTTGCTGGCCTGGTAAATTGGCATTTTGAAATTCAAATGGACCAAACTAATGCAAAAGAGAGATAACGAGATAGAATTATTAGAAAAATATATATATATATATAAATGAAAACGAGAAACGGAAAATCCGGCCAGTTCGACCCGACCCGACCCGCTTTTGGGCCTCTTTTTTTGGTCCTTTGTTCTGACCCGATAGCCCCGGCCCAACTAGGCCTTTTCTTTCCTCTCTCTCCAGCTCAGCCCAGCCACTCAGACCCCTCGCTCTCTCTTTCACGCAATAATCTGTTTCAAAGCTTTCGAAAGCACGACTCCACCCAAGACACGCTCCGGGCCAGATCACTTGCACGTAGCCACCAACACTTTCCTTGGTGGGAGCGATGGCCTCCTCCGTCCATGAAGCAAGGCCATGTTGTCGAAGAAGAGGACGTCGCCCTTCTCCTTCTCCCACTCGAATTGGATGCTCTCGTGCTCGATGATCTCGCTGCATCGCTTCACTGCGTGGTCTGGGATCTCGGTCCCGTCAGCCATCGTGGCTGAGCTGATCTCCTTCTCCTGCACCCCCACCATCGTGTTGTACTACATCCTTCTCCCTTTCCTCCCCTCGAACACCCTCGTGAGGGATCGTGGGCAGATTATCGTCTTTAGTCCACCATAGGGCAGCCATTCCACGTCCATTCCCGAGGCCTTAACCCTTCAAATGGCAGATCTATTCACTTTATTAATAAGCGAGCCCGATCTGGTTGTAACATAAGGAATTTGCCTTTTGGGTGCCGCTAGCCTGACCGTGAACGATAGTGTTACGGTCAAAGACCAGCCACGAAAAGTTTTTAGGAAACCAGTTGACGGTTTCAATTCTTCAGTTAATGTTTTTTTTTTAATTAATTCTACGTTTCCTTATTGCGAGCTCATATTGACTGACAAAATCGTGAGAGGACCCCAGGAAATCAATTTTCTTGAATATGAAGAAAGAAAAAATAAATTAGATGCCGAAATATAAATAACTATAAGTAAAAAAATGTTATCACTTACGAAAAAGAAACTGTTAATGTCATTATATAAATCTATTATATTTAAAAGATGAAAGAACACTGGAATCGCTGGCTTTGCTGCAAATAGCGAAATCATTGCGTAATGAAATGGCTTCTCATTCTTTCGATGACAATGAAAACCTCTTTCTTTCTTGCAATGAAAGAAGCAGACATTAATGAACATTTCTTCACGGTTATGACTTATTCGATTACAAAATCCTACTGTAATTAGAAGTTCAAAGTATACAAGATAATTACATTCACATTTTTTTTAGTTGTTAAGTTTTTTTTTTTTCGGAAACAGTATCCACCTAATCTTTTTTTTTGGCCGGATAATAATATTCACTATTTTAAAAATTGCAACTGAGTTCTTCATATATTCCTTATTGTTTGAATATTATCACTTTGATTTGTTTCTTTAAGTAAGATAAGAAAATCGTTATCTTCTCATGGTTTTTTATATATAGAAAATGCATTTTTGTATATAAAAAACTTGTTAATATTTCACCAGTCTCCCATTTTTTAAGATGGAAAATGCTTGGCTTAGATTTGACCGTATCTTTTCCAAGCTAACGGCACTGTTAGCTAAGCATTATTCTTGCCTTTTCTATGGATTCTTACGTATTGGATCAAAAAATTCTCACAATAAATAGCAACTTATTTTAGCGTTTTTACTCGACGCTGCAATTTGGTAAGAAAAGGAAATTCCCATCAATAGCTAAAATCCCATATTATTGGACTAGATGATATCTCAAGCATATCCTCATTAAATGGAAAGGAAATCTTTTTCCTCTACGTACTTTCTGGTCATCAGCTCATTTAGCAACTTGAATGGATCTAGCTCTAAGTATATAAAGGTGCTACGATTCATCTCGACACATCACTGCACTAGGTCACAAAGTTGTCAAGACTCGTTGAGAGAGAGAAAGAGAGAGTAAGAAGAGTTTAGGTGGGTGTAGCCATGGAGGTAACAACATCCAAAAGAATGGGGTCCATGATTCTTGTGGCAACTCTGATACTGTGGTCGTCCATCGGTGCCGATGCAAGCAAGTTTAGTTGTATATTTCGTTGTGTCGTGAAGTCAGATGACCCGGTTCGATGCATTAAAGATTGCTTCAAGCATCACCATAGCGAGTCCTTGACATCCGCAGCATCAGAGCACTGCGAAGTCGGTTGTTTCTTGTCAACTTGCTTTCACTACCATCCAGGTAATAATCTTTGCATTGAGATCGAAGATATAAACTAGCTTCTCTATTGTATAATCGTGTTTACTTATGAGTGATTTATTGATGTAATTTAATTATGAGAGCATGGTTGCATACTATACCATTTCATTTCCTTGGACTTTTATATATATGCTTTGTTAAAAGAGATTCGATGTCAATTTTGTTGTGAGTGACTTTGAACTCATGTAGATACCAAGAAAGTTGGAGCGGACGTGACAAAAGTGAGAGCTTGTGCAGATTCATGCACTCAGGGTTGCCAAAAGATCTATTCATTGCACTAAAGTTTGGAAATTTTCCTTTTTTATAGTTAAACAATAAAGTTCGGAAATTTTCCTTTTTTTTTTAGTTAAACAAAGGTGTGTAATACCTTTGTGGGTTTCACTCCTCAACTAATGAATAATGCCTTTTTAATTATCTGCTTTGAGCGAAGTAC